GTCTCATGTGTTGTTTATCATTCTGGGGGACAGTAAAAGACAGTATTAAAATCGTCAGGTCTCATGTGTTGTTTATCATTCTGGGGGACAGTAAAAGACAGTATTAAAATCTTCAGGTCTCATGTGTTATTTATCTTTCTGGGGGCACTAAAAGACAGTATTAAAATCGTCAGGTCTCATGTGTTGTTTATCATTCTGGGGGACAGTAAAAGACAGTATTAAAATCTTCAGGTCTCATGTGTTATTTATCATTCTGGGGGACAGTAAAAGACAGTATTAAAATCTTCAGGTCTCATGTGTTATTTATCATTCTGGGGGACAGTAAAAGACAGTATTAAAATCTTCAGGTCTTATGTGTTGTTTATCATTCATTTGTCCTCGCTGTGGACGAGGCTAAGTAAGCATTTTTAACGATCTACATTATTTAATACCATGTACGTACTTTGTTTGAGTAAACTACACTAAGCCACAAAGATACGGTGTAAGTAAGCCAGCTTAACAAACATAATTGCTTCAAGTACTTTATGCAGAAGTTATGTAGGGTTTTGTATCAAAGTCAGTCGACCAATGGAAAAACGTTAGTTGAAATAATGCCACCAGGTCACTTCATCTTTAAGAGTAAAAAGTAACGAAAACAAGTCTGATGGTTTTTATCTTTTAAAATAATGCACACATGTACATGTCGTTCCTGTAGTATACCGCAACTAGCATTAAAAACATTTTATAAGTAAGCATATAATATTATATGAAGCCAAGTTAAGTTACTTTTCTATAGTAAACTGGAGAGATGAATAAAAATACGCTCTAAACAGTAAGTTAATGATTGTTGGTATAATGTATCCAGAAACACGTTCTGTGTACTGAAGTTCAATAAACAACAACACGTGAGCTAATGAAGCCAAGTTACGTGACGATGCCAAACCCAATGAACGTGTAACAAAACATTTGTCAAACAAGCACTATCTCGTCTTGAAATATCGTAGAAAAGTCCAATTGTTAAAAGAACAGAGGGCTTTCAACCAAAACAATTAGCTCTTGAATACCTTCGGTGGCTTATTTAGTGGGATTTGTGTCCATAAATACCTTATCACATCCTCAAGAAGTCTCTGGCAATGTGTCCTTTAAACCACATTTAAAGAACTGTACACGGTTAATACAAAAAGTGTCTTTGTTTGTTTGTTGTCAAGCTATACATTGAGCTATCTGTAATATGCTCAACGCTGGTATCAAAACCTAACTTTTAGCATATTAAGAAATATCATGTTTAAATGCTGTAAAACAAATGACATTATTCATGTTGATAGAATATTAAATATTATATTTAAATACTGTAAAACAAAAGACATTATACATGTTTAAAACATTAAGCCTGTAATTCCTGGTGTCTAGCGTGGGGGTTGTTGTACTGGACAGTATCATGATTCGAATCTTACTACTAGGACAGTAAGGTACACATTAACATGAGTTTGTTTCAGTCGACATATAACTGTTCAAAAGCCGACCCTGAGAACAGATAACTAAACAAAAGCGTTGAAATGAGCATCGAACCATAAACAATTTGAGTGAGAATAGCTGGAAATGTGTGCTCTTTACAGATGAACTTAAGTTCAAATTGTTCAGCAAAAATCAACATGATATGTTGTAGGAGAGAGAGAAGAACAGTACTATAATCAGTTTAAAAACGTAAAATGAAGCATAGTGGGACCGTTGCAAAAATGATGGCACCATGACTGCTGAAAGGCACAGACAGATTCCGATCCATCATGCCATTTCCTCGGGAAATACGACTTATCGGGAAGAGATTCATCTTGCAGTGAGGCTATATGATCCAAAGCATGCAACAAGTGTGGTGAAACGATATCTTGATGATGACGAGGCCATTGAAACAATCACAACTATGACTTGGCTTGCACAAAGTCGAGGTATGAACATTCTTAATGAAAATGAGCTGTAATGAGTGTCTCGTGTAAAACAAATTGCTGAAATTAAATATATTATTTCACTGTACAACATATTTGCTTCCTTTCTTTTTTAACAATTTGTACCGTTGATAGATTCGCCAATATTCTATCAACATGAATAATGTTTTTTGTTTTCAGTATTTAAATATGATATTTAATATTCACTCAACATGAATAGTGTCATTTGTTTTCAGTATTTAAATATGATATTTAATATTCTATCAACATGAATAATGCCTTTTGTTTTACAGTATTTAAACATGATATTTAATGTTCTATCAACATGAATAATGTTTTTTGTTTTACATATTTAAACATGTATCGTGTATTTTTATCGTAGCACTTTGTATATATCGACTATTTTGAGTTTAGCTTCCATTTAAGCTGCAAATGCTAGTTTAGCTCAGATAGCTATATATCGTGAAAGCCAGGTTTTTCAAATAGCTATATATTTAGCTATATATCGTGAAAGCCAGGTTTTTCAAATTTAGCTATATATCGTGAAAGCCAGGTTTTTCAAATAAGATGGCCCTCCAGTGGCACAACAGCACTTCTGCGGACTTATACCACTAGAAACCGGGTTTTGATACCCGTAATGGGTACAGCAAAGATAGCCCAACGTGTAAATTTGTGCTAACCTACAAACAAATACAAAGAGGATGTGCAAATAAAAATCCAAGCCTAAGCATTGTATACTTTAGTATTAGCAACACTTAATATAACAACGAATAAAATGCCGATCTCGTCGTTTGATAAGTGCTGTTTGGGTTTGGGTTTTGTTTCGGTTTGGCTTCTTTTGAATTTCGCGCACAGCTACTCGAGAGTTATTTGTGCTAGCTGTCCTTAATTCAACAGTGAGAGACTTGAGGGAAGCTAGCTTGTCAACACCACTCACCGCCACCACTCGGGCTACTCTTTTACCAACGGATAGTGGGATTGACCGTCATGTTACAATACTCCCACGGCTGAAAATATCGAAACCCGGTTTTTAGCGTTTTTAGACTTTAGACTTACCCCTGAGCCACTGGGAGGGGACATATATACAAATATGAGAAAGGTGTTTATGAAGCTTAAAGTGTTGGCATTTTCATGCAAAAGTCGAATGCCCCCTCATTTTGTCGCACTTTTTTATGCTGTAATTGCTTTTTTTATATTTCCAGTTCCTATGGCTACGTGTGGTTATGATGTCAGTGACCTCAGAGTTGACATTGAACTACAGGTTCACTTACCAGTCATCTACCTGACAAACTTTCTCAGCATTCTTATAAACCTGCTTTACAGCCTAGTTGTTGCTCGACTTCTCCCGCAGAGGAACTTATAAACATTTTAACGGTTACATAAAAACTCGCCAGTTCGGATCCCCCTCCCCCTTTACTTTTATGAAAAACGTCTGAATGTCATTTGACTTAGTCTTGCAAGTTCAGGTATAAATAGATGAGACACAGGCCTATAATAGCTAAATGGTGGAAAATGTTGTTTCTTATCTACTCCATAGGTTTGCTGGTTCCCGGGTTTACTTTAGCTGGGTTTTCCTTAGATGACGTTAACGACTGCGGTAAACCCGTAAACTGCTACGATGTTCGACGACGTGGGTTCTACCAAAGCGGGGTTTATAGGATCTGGCCTCTGTACTTCAATAAACCCGTCCAGGTTTTCTGTGATATGTTGACCGAAGGAGGAGGATGGACAGTAAGAATTTATTAATTCGAGAAAACTTTTCGTTATTTTTATATCCAGTTGTTAAATAGAGTTTCAAGAAATAAACACAGGATTTACTTATTTAAAAAAAATCAATGAGAAACAGATACTTTTTCACAGAAACTTTGCTTCCCCAAATTCTGAAATTGTAACAAATTTAAAAAAAATCTCGTGCCTAATTTATTCATTATTTACATTGGTCACGACTGAAAGGTTGTTCTTTCAACATCTGATAACCAAATGGGTGATTATACATTCAGATAGACCGAGAAGTTTCGTATCTTCTTTCAATCTTTACAGATCAGTTTCTCCGATGAAAGAAGTTTCAGTTTTTTTTTACATTGTATTTGATATACTGATCCTGACATCAAAAGATTTTATTTGTTGAACGTTGTCTCACAATTACTCACAAGAGACTTTACAAAAATTTACGCTGATCTGTTCCAACATGGACAAAATTATTGGAATATGTAGAAATGAAATTAGTAAATTTACACCAACCTGGCTTTAGTGGGTAGTAAAGGTTAAAAGTTCATACAACAGTTAGAAAACGTCAAGTGCCACTATATTAGTAATGACTCTACGTCATTAAGAAACAATGATTTTTTTTCGTTTTCTGATAAAGAGGTGATTGGGTGTTTGTTAAGCACAAAGCAGCACAATGTGCTATGTGTGCTCTGCCCACCAGGGGTATCGAAACCCAATTTTTAGCGTTGTAAGCTTACAGACTTACAGCTGAGCCACTGATGAGCTTGATAAAGAGAGTTTTGTTTTAGTTGTTTTAAGACTGTGTGTCGCTAGCATCATCAAATGGCAAACTTTAAAAGCAAGTGGTTGTTTAAAAACAATTTTAAACATATTCACTTGCTTTTACGTAAATATAGAATGTCTTAGATTGGGAAGTTATTCCAGTTTGAATCTTTCTTGATCAGAGTAACCGAACTGTTTTAGTTTTGTTTTGTTTTTTCATAATAGGCTACTATGTCAATATCTACACCAGTATTGAACTGTTCGAAATCCATAAGCCAATAAAGATCTCCGAATTAAATAATAACTCGCATAGTGTACACAGTATTGACAGAAACACGGAATTTAGTTCCTCTTGTCTCAAGGACGCCATCTTTGTTCTAATTTCATAGTTATTTCACCTAACGTAAAACCCAGGTATAATTTATAGCTTTGTGATTTATAATTTTCTTACTTTCATTCGGATTTTTTTTTCTTTACTTATTTACTTAAAAATAAATTATTTCCAATTACTCTATTGTTTTTGTGTCTTTATTTTCTCTTTGATTAATGTTTGAAAAAGCAGACCATGAAAGACTTTCAGGCGTTGAACGAAGTCTTTGGCCCCGAAACTGTGTATAAAAATGTTTGTTTGTAGTTGAGCACAAAACTACACACAAGGCTATCTGTGCTCTGCCCGCCACAGGTATAGAACCACGGTTTTTAGTGTTGTAAGTCCGCAGACATACCGCTGTGCCACTGGGGTTGCGTGTGTAGAAAAATAGCATTAAGGTTATCCAGTAAATACACTCCGAGATATCTTCCTGCTATGTTACTAAGGAGACACGTTGTTATTTGATGAATTGTCTACAGTAAAATGTTATTTTTTCAAGGTTTTACAGAGAAGAGAACAACTTGAAAGTAACCAAGATTTTTACTTACCATGGAATAGTTATAAACACGGATTTGGGAATTTATCGGGAGAATTTTGGATAGGTAAGTATAACGAATTCTGTAGAGCCAGAGATGGTACTACGCATGCTCAGAAGGTAGATAAATTATTCTTCACATTTAGTTATCTTAAACTGCTTTGTTCGATTTTAACTGTTTTATTGAATGGATTTGTTTGTTTGCATTTTTTTTCTAATTTCGCGCCAACCCACACGAGGACTATCTGCAGTAGCTAGCCCTAATTTTGAAGTGTTAGAATAGAGTGAAGATAGCTAGATAACACCATCCGCCGCCAATTCGTGGACTCCTCTTTTTACAAACGAAAAATGAGGTTGGCCGTCACATTATAACGTCCCCGCGTTTGAAAGAGCGAGCATGTTCGGGGAGGGGATTTAATCCCGCAACCCTCAGATTGCGAGTTGAGTGCCGTAACCATCAGGTCATTTCATTGAATGTAGGTTTATATTCAAGAATGAATATACTAATGTCTTACGACGTCACGTGTGGTTAAAACACATACAACTTATTGTTCCACTGAATGTTTTACCACACTTGAAATGTTGAAAAATCAGATAAGGCTTAGCGTGGGCTAACTCGAATTTAACTGTTTTAGCGATTACTCCTTAGTTACGAATAAAAGAAGCACAGATTCTCCTCAACTTTGACGATATTTTAAGTTTTCTACAACAATTCCACCACTACCCTCGACCCCAGACACATAACCTTACTACAATGTGAGTTTGTTAAAATATACCTTTGTAAGAGAGGTTTATTACGAAAAAATACCCACGATAAAGTACCCACATGATTATACAGCATTTAGGAGATTTAACACCTGTTCACAAGCCTTACCTGTTGGAATGGAAATAAGTTTGAAAGCAAATGTGGAACCTTAAGCTCACGACGTCCACATCTAGCTGTATTATCGGTGAGAGTTAGAAACAAAATTATACTAGATCTAATTCCGCTGGGTCCCCAAAAGTGTTCTGTTTCGAGAGTAAATAAAGCCAACGTTAAGAGTAACAAATATGTTTATTTCTTGCTTTTGAAGTTCACATCTCATGTGCATAATTATTCTCGTGATTCACGGCATGCGCACGTTTTACTGACTTCACGACAGTACAAATTACAACGTTAAGCGTACCTTATGTGACGTCATTTTAGTGTCTATATAGTGTCGTGAGTGGTTCTAAAAGGTGGCCCTTCCAGGCGGCTTTCTGCTGCTTTCGGGGGAAAAAAGAAAAATTCAGGAGCGTCATTTCACAAAAGTATTGGAAGAGCACAGAAGGCTGACCTCTCGTGAGCTTTTCGGTTCAGTTGAGGACCTTAAGCGTTTACATAATTTGTATGTTTGTTAATCCGGCTTGACTGGAAATGTTTTATTGACCCTGTCATTTGATGCCCTCTACAAGGCTTGGGGGCAACCGCCCCTATCAGCCTCCAAAATTAAGCCACTCAGTAAAACGGGCTACTACAAATGAATCGCTGGGGGGTGGTGGTAAATAAAACTTATCTCTTGATTGAAGCTTCCATCTTTCTTTATGGACAATATCATAAAAACCTGAAATGTATAGATTTAATAACTGACAAAATGACACTTTCTCTCCAGATTTACAAATCTGGCTACAACCTTTCATTTTAACCATTAGTCATTAAAATATTGTTAAACACTCCAGAAAGTATTATGAAAAGTTAAAGTAATAAATAATCATAAAAAAAAATGTTTTAAACACACTCCAGATGTCACAATAGTGAATTTTTTGATGAACGAGTAAATCGAAATTATTTTTTTATAGATGTCGCTTTTTTAAAAAGTAATTCCCAATATTAAAATTAAATAGAAAACATCAGATATATTTCAAATGTAACCAAGTGATGAAAACCGCAAAAAAAAGAAGGAACAAATAATTCGTTTTTCAATTTGATTTATTTCAGGAAATGAGCTTATATTTGCATTAACAAATGAAGAAGACATGACTCTTCGATTTGATTTAGAGGCCTTTGATGGCGAAAAGAAATATGCGAGGTACACGTCGTTCCTTGTAAATAGTGAAAGAGAGCTTTACAAAATAACCGTTGGTTCATATCAAGGTACTGCAGGTAAGCATGTGTATCATGAGGATTATTGTAACTACTACAGTGGTTTTAAAACAAACTCTATAAAGAACATAATAAGACGTCAAAGATAATGATAACCATAAGGTATTTTAAAGACAAGGTTCACTTATCAATGTGATTAAATATTGAAAATACATTGTTAGGCTTAACAAAAAGTGGTCCAGTATATTTGTCACTTGCTTTATAATATTGTAAGAATAATTTAACCGATAACTTTTCCTATTTGTTTTCGTAATACCAATAATTCTCAAGTTCTCTAATCATTTAATCAATAAAATCTAATAAGAATTCGTTTAATTTTTCTCCATTAAAACAACAACAAATACTACCAATATTCAAAGAACTAGATGTAAAAATTAAACCGTTCTTCAAAACAAAAATAAGAACGTATAAGTTTGTCATATTGTTACGACAGCAGAAGTCGCGCGATGCTGAAAGCAAGCGCGCTGGAGTTTCTCGATGGATCATGAATTATCCTGGCAACTCTAGTTTGTTCGAGGCGCCCTCTTTTTTAGTATTTTAGCCTAGCGAGAAAATCCAGCGCGATTGGAGAGATATGCAGATAGATTAAAGATATAGATAACTGAGTCAAGAGAACAGTAGGCACCGTAACTAAAGTGTGTGAATCACTGTGATTTATAGCGTTTGTTATAAAGGTTGTTAAGTTTAAAGTGACTGTAGAAATTCTGTGTATTACTAAAATTTGTATCGAGAAAGAATAAACTAGTTTTAATCAAGAAGGGACTTTTATCGCTGAAGTTCCTCGGAAAGAATGTATACCGGAAATTAACAAACAAGCAGATACGTAACAATATATTAATGTTAAGACGATAAAATAAATATACTTATAATGCTTGTTGCTTAATAAGAGTGACATTTCAATGATGTAAAAACTCGTTATACCATTCTTCTTAAACAATGACACGATTTTTTTGTTGTTGTTTTTCATCCAAAGAAAAAACATGATGCAAAAGCAGAGAAGAAAACATCATTAAAGCTTGATTTTGTTTTAAAAAAAAACTTGATTTAATGACATCAAGATCTCGTCGAACTTCCATGATAACTATAACGTGAATATTTTTGGAGTAAGTAATTTCGAATAGATTTAATTTTTATTTATCACAACTAGAATATTTAAGTTAGGGCTAAGTTGTGTCTTAGTTTCGAAGAAAATGTAGCTGTTCATGTCATACTTTAAGATTTTAATTTAGAAGTCACAAAAATCGGGAATTAAAATCAGTGGGGGGGTCCATAACTGGGTTGCGTAAGGTCTTGGAAGTCCTCAAGTTAAGAATGTTTGGGAACCCTTGTTGTATATAACAGTGTTACGGGCACGTTTAACACTGTAACTGCTTACTGTAATGAAACAATTTTCTATAATGTTTCGGAGAAATAAAATACATTAAAAGCACTTTCTTAGGAATCATTAAATGGTATATAAAATAATGATTTTTTTTAAAGGTTAAATAAACAAGTGGACTTTGTTTTAGACTGAAGTATATTATAATTAGAGCTACTCGTAATCCTAATTCTACATGAAAACATCGAAGTTTTTTGAAACAAACAAATTATTTTTTTTAAAGTCGTCCTCCACTGGTTCAGCGGTAAGTCTAATGGCTTATTATGCTATAAACCAGGTTTCGATACCGGTGGTGGGCACAGGACAGATAACACACAAACAAATATAGAAATTCCAAGAAATCGATAATATTTAAAAGTGATGGATTTGTTTTTAACAGGACTAAAGATGGCGGTGACTTGATATAACACTAAGAAGGAAAATAACACAAGGTTTCACGGTCAATAGGATACTTTATTTTATTCTAATTGTTATAACAAATGAATGTGTACGATGACATTTTTAAAAAAACTTAATAGTCACTACTTCATTTATTTCAAGAATATAACCAACCTTTCATCACAATATAACACATAGTTATTTCAAGAATATAACCAACCTTTCATCACAATATAACACATAGTTATTTCAAGAATATAACCAACCTTTCATCACAATATAACACATAGTTATTTCAAGAATATAACCAACCTTTCATCACAATATAACGCATATTAACTTCATTGTTTTTAACACTCTTAGAAATATTACTCTTTCTTTAGGTAAATTTTTTGCTCTGCTATTTTGCTTGGAGTTAAGCACAAAGTTACACAATGGGTTGTTTGTGCTGTTCTCACCACGGGTATCGAAGTCCGGTTTTTAACAATATAAGTCCGCAGAATTACCGCTGAGCCACTGAATGGGTGTTTGCCAACTATTGGGCTACTCTTTTACCAACGAATAATGGAAGTGATCGTCACATTATAACGTCCTCCCTGTTGAAAGGACGAACATGTTTGATGGGAGGGAATTCGAACCCGCGACCCTCAGATTGCGAGTCGAGCGCCCCAATCACCTGGCCATGCCAGGCCCTAATAGAAGACGCCCATCATACAATAAGATCCTCTGACCTAACAACGTTGTTATTATTTTCAGGGGACAGTCTTTCCTATCACAACGGTTCCCATTTCTCAACCCATGACAGAGATAACGACAACTTGCCAACAAGCTGCGCGGTAAGTCGACGTGGTGCTTGGTGGTTTAAAGAGTGCGCCGAAAGTCATTTGAACGGAGTTTATGAACCAAGTGGAAAAACGTTGGCTGGAGAGCAGGGCGTGTACTGGCAGCATTTCAGAAATGATCCAAAGTTTTCATTAAAGAGATCCGAGATGAAGATTAGGCCTGAATTTTAACTGAATTTTGTCATATTCTTAATTTAGATAAATTAATACCTTTACCTTCTTGAGCAGGAATAAAAATCCGTTTTTTTTATGCGACTTAATTTTTGGTTTAATCTTATCCTCGAGTAAGGGCAGATATTTTTTTTCCTGTATGTTCTAAACGTACTATAAACTGCTATGCATTCTATAATTTAAGTCCACGATGTTAGAAAAACACACAGGTTCAAGAAGTCAATTTAACACCGAGATATCCTATAACCCAGAGCGCTTTTGAAGGGTTGACCAGTTTGCCCCTGAAGAATAAAGGCCAGCCTTTCGAAAGGGCTCTGGTTAGAGGGTATCGTATCTTTGTGTCGTATAGTTTAAGGACACGTTTCTGAGTTGAATATTTTACAATCATCAACTTGTAAATAAAACGCAGACGTTGATAGGCCATCAAAAAATAATTCATAAATTAATTGGACCATCACAAAGCTATGACTTATTTTCACATCTCACAACTCTTTTCTACTTATCGACTTAGTTTTATTTGAAAAACACTCTTCTTCATCTAAACAAGGTAACAGTTACTCTTTCTTCTCATCTTCATGTTCACGAGGGAACAATTACTTTTTGCTCTTCATGTAAACAAGGTAACAGTTACTCTTTCTTCTCATCTTCATGTTCACGAGGGAACAATTACTTTCTGCTCTTCATCTAAACAAGGTAACAGTTACTCTTTCTTCTC